GCAGGGCTCCCCCACAGTGTTTCTTTGCTGCCCCAGCACCCTCTCTGCTGCCACCCACCCTGAGCACACCTGGGGGACCCCTGTTTGGGTTCTGTTTCCCCAAGGTGTGCTCTTGGCCTCTGCCTGTGTGTCCCTTCCACTCCTCTGTGCTGCTCCCAGGGTCACTCCTCCCTAAGCCCGCACCCATGTCTCAGCAGCCCTGTGCCCTGCCCGTGGGGTTCCTCCCTGTGCCCTGCAGCACCCCAGCCCCATGTACCTCCTCCTGAGGGACCCTGGTGTCACCTCTGAACTCAGACCCAACCTGGGGGATATCTCTGTGTGCTGCCTTTCCCTGCACCTCCTGCCAGCACTTACTCCTCCTCTGTTACACCCCAAATCCTGGAGCTCTCTCTGCTACCATGACCTGCGCCACAGCCCACACAAATCCCTTGGGGACCTTCACTGCCTCTGTCCCAGTCACACCAAGGGGACATCTCTCCCTCTCTCCCCATGCACTGTCCCATCTCTGAGCACCCCAACGCTGCAGCCTGTTACGGTGCCCTGCCTGCTCCCTTGAGTTCTTACAGCTTTGGGACTGTCCCCATTGCCCTTGCAGTGCTGACTCTATGGGAACACCATAGGAAGCACCAATTCCTGGAGTGTGGGCTGACACCCCCATTTTCCCCTGGGGTCCCTCAGCAGCATCATGGGGTTGTTAGGGGTCACCTTCTCCTGTCACAGCTAATGACTGTGATGGTGACATCTCCAAAACACTCCCTCCCTCTGCTCCTTTGGCTGCTTGTCAGACTGTGCCAGTGTGCCGTGAAGATGTGGAAAAATACCACAGCCCTGTACCCTTGATGCCCCATACCCCTCAGCCTGCTGTGGGCAGAGCCAGCTTCCCCCAATCCCTCTTTTCCCAAACTTGTGTGCCAGGATTTCTGTCTGCTTCTTGGGGAGCTCAGTCTCCCCATACTCCCTAGCTGTATAGGCACCTCCCAAATCCTGTGCCAGGCACAGAGTTCATGTGAGACTGCTGAGACCCATCCTCCGAGCAAACCTGTGGCTCTGGCTGCCCCTGCCTTGCCGTTGTCCCCTCTATACTCCAGGGGGAATATGTCCAGACCTGCCTGGCTGTCCCCGTGTAGCCCAGCTCCAGCTCTCCCTTCACACAACCACCCAAGGGAGGCTCCCTGGGAAGGGCAGTGTCCAAATTCCTGTACAGCCTGGGCACACGGCTTCCCAGGAGAGGAGCCAGCTCTTCCCTTTGGGTATGTGGCCAGCTGTAGCAGGTCAAGCTCTTTTTGGCAGGTACAGGGGGTTCCTGCTCCCTCTCTGTCATATTGCACACCCCGAGGAGAGAGGTGGCATGGCTTTTGGGGAAAGCTCTTGGGTAGCTGTAGGTGCTTCATCTCCATGTGGGGAGGGAGCCCCATAGGTGCCTCCATCTCCAGGTGGGGATTGAGCCCTCTGAATTCCTTTCTGTGGCGAGAGCCTTGCCTGCCCTGGTCCTGCTGCAGCCCCTTAGAGGGGAGCAGAGTTTGACTCTCCATCCCCAGCTTGGATAGTAGCAGTTTGACTCCCCAAACCTGTGTGCATTCTTCCTTCCATCTGCCTCCCTCCTGGCTACCCTCGGAGCTATGTTGTGCCGGGCAGAGGCTGTTCTCGGGCAGAGGTTGTTCTCTCTGCCTTCCCAAGCTTCAGCTCTGATAGTCAACTGATAAATATTCTCAAAACAAAAGCTGCAGCTGGGGAAGCTCCTCCAGGTCTCCTGCTCTCCTTCCCAGTCCGTGGCAGCGGAGGTGGCCGTGGAGCTGTGCTCCGTGCCATTCTGCACGACCGCAGCTGGGCTATTTACGGGCCAGCGCAGATGCTGTGCCAACGTGCTGGGGCTCAGGGCACCGGGAGGATTAATCTGAGACTTTCTGAATCAGGAGCACAACTGTCGGGATACCAGGCAGTGTTGGGTCTTGGCTACAGCGCAGAGCCCGAACCTTTGTCATTTTAACGAGATGGGGAGCAATTAAATTTAAGGGCAGAGTGTAAAAGGGAAGCTGAAAGCTCAGTGCTGGGCTGGAGGAGAGGCACGTACCGTGCCATGTGCTCAGTGCCCTGTTCCACGTGTGTCTCTGGGGCTTGCGCACACCGTGTGTCCCTCTTGTTCCTAACCTATGGCAGTGACAGAGCTACTTTAAGTGAACAGGTATAAGGTGTTGCTTTCTAGCATGTCACCTGTGGGGCCACCAATTTGCCATCAGCACTCAGCCCCACTCATCGGCTGCCCTGGCATCACCCATGTGTGTTGCCATCATTCCAAGCACACGGCTTGATGCCACCAGCTCTCGTCTCTGGAGCTGCCTCTTTGCACAGAGGGAGTCAGAGGTTACATGCAGCAATGGGCACTGGGATGTTGCTGCTGCTCTCACTAGGTTTTTATTTTCCCTCTGAAGCTAAGCAAATTACCACTCTCCTAATGAGCTCCCAGGATAGGAGGTGGGGGCTGCTGGAAGGATGGAGGGTGAGCATGTGCCATCCTGTGTTTGGGCAGAGAGCATATGGGGATGCTGGTCTGGTGATGGAGAACAGGTCTGGCCTGTTGTCAGCATCTCCTCAGCTCTTGGCTGCTTGACTTCAGTTTGCTAACATCCCATCTTTAGGAAGCGGCTTGCCAGCTCTTTATGTTTAAAGCTGTTTGTTTTGAAGGCAGGAAGATGATTTAACAACTAAAACACTTTCAGATTATAGAAAGAAAATGAAGAAATATTACTTTTGGCATAAGCCTCTCCTAGCAGTGCTCCACCCAAAGTGAAGTGCCTGGTGCTCACAGCTACTGCTGGGTCCCAGCGTCCTCCCTGTGCTTGCTGAGGTCCAGAGGCCAAGTTTTAAATCAGAGGCTTCGTTATGCTAAAAACAAACCATGGCTTGTTGGAGCCAACAGGTCCTGGCTGCTGTTGAGCCAGTGTTTGAGCCACTTCCTGCAAGACGGGGCTGTCAGAGTGCTGTGTGGATGTTCCCACCTGGATGTGTGTGAGGGACATGGGGCTCTGTCACGTTCTCTGATTCCTGGCAGAGGAGAGCCAGACCCTCCTGCTCCTCATGTTGGGGCTGTATGGGTGCAGAGGGGAGCAAGAAAGCTGAGCCCTGTTGTCCTGCTGCGATGTCACTGGGATTTATCAAACCAAAGTGGTGACAGTGGTGTGAGCTGGGGCTGTCCAGTTGTGCCAAGGTCTCTGCTCCCAGGACAAGCAGCCTCTGCTTCAGTTTCCATGCTATCATGCCAAAGGGTGACCTGCACCAGAGAAGCTGCTTTTCCTAGTCAGCATTTTAGTCTCCAGAGCCAAACTGTCCTGTGCTGCTCCCAGCTGGCCCTTGGGCTTGCATGCTGAGCCCTTCTCCAGCCAAACTGGGCCCCCAAAGTGCACACAGTGCCCCAGGTATCTCCAGCCTGTTCTTCCATCCCCCATATCTAACCTTCAGACCTAATCTCAGCGGAAGATTGCTGAGGGCAGGGAGGTGCAGCCAAATCCTTGTGTTGTGCAGATTTCCATTTCCATAGCAGTAGCTATGGATACAGACTGTTTGTGCAAATAACCAATATTCCCACCCACACCGATTGCTGACCAGAGCAGCCCAGGGCTGAGTGTCCCTAGTAGTCCTTGGCTTTACCTGCTGCTGGAAGTTTTTTGCTTTCCTAGATGCTCTCTAGGGCTTTGCTCAAACAAAACTCAACTTTGTCAAATGGGTGGAGTTATTTAACTGCTTCCAAAACACTTGAGTTCAGCTATGGGATTTGTTAACTGTGGTAGAGGTGAGTGGTGTCCTCCAGCTTCTCCCTTACGATGCTTGAGGGTTAAAGAAATTAATTTTGAGAGCAAAATGATGCTCTGGTGGTGTGTGCAGGCTCTGTCTGTCACTTGGTTGGTCTGGAGGAGGCATGGGCAGTGGGGTTTGCATCCTGGCATCAGCTGACAGGGCCAGGTCTGCTGCCAGTGCTCCCTGGGGCATCCTGGCATCCCTGGGGAGCACTGGCAGCAGCCCTGGCCCCTTAGCTGATATGATGCTGTTGTGTTCTCATATAACTAATTTATGTGCAAGACAGTCCTTTCCTTGGCAGGAGGTTTATGGAGTAAACCCTAGATTTAATGGATCAGCCCTCAGGTGCTTTGAGCTTAAAGAGCTCAGTTTGATATCTGGTGAAGGAAGAAACTGTTTGGGATATAATATTGAGTTGTAGCAGCAGTTACAGTCATAAACATGGCTGAGCTTACACTCAGCAAATGTTGTTTGCTGCTTGGAATTCCAGTTTCCTCTCATTAAAGACTTGCTGGCACTTAATGAAAGCTGGTTGTAGTAGCAGAGCTCCCCCAGCACAAATGCAATGCTTAAATGCACAAATTTGGTCTGGGAGGTTCCAGTGGGCTGCAGGGTTTGGACACTGGTGTCACCACTCTCAGAGAAGCTGTGCTGCCACAGTGTTAAGGGCTGTGATTTATTCCAGTAAAGCACAAGGCATGAGCCAGGCTTTGTCCCCTGCAGCAGAGCTCAGGTGGGAGAGGAGGTGTTCACATAGAACTGATTTTTTTTTTTTCCCCACTGTAGACTCTGCTAGTTGTGCTTTTAGCCTCTGCTGCTTTGGCTATCAGAGCCTGGGGTGAATGGCCTGATTGGTAGCACTGAAGAAGACATGTTCTTGGTCTCGCTGTGCTTTGCTGGAAAGAGGTCCTGAGCTGGCTCTTAAGTGGTGGGCTCAGATAAACAAGGTGCTGCTGGTGTATGGTGCTCAATGATATCCTAAAGCACTTGAAGCCACAGCAGTGCCAGCATCACTGCTGGTGCCCTGCAGTCTGATAGGTCCTGCTCATGTTCCCAAAGCCTTTGCTATCCACCTAAACCAGACCCATTCCTTGCCTGCCCTGGGTTACTGTGGACTTTTTTTGTAATGTGTCTGAAAAACACACCCTTTTATCCCTTTTGGTTAGGTGAGAGGATCCTGGGCTATGCAGAGGAGCCTTGCTACCTGTGGTTTGTCATGGAGTTCTGTGAAGGGGGAGACCTCAACCAGTACGTGCTCTCCCGAAGACCTGACCCAGCGACCAACAAGAGCTTCATGCTACAGCTGACCAGTGCCATTGCCTTCCTGCACAAGAACCATATTGTGCACCGGGACCTGAAACCAGACAACATCCTGATCACTGAGAAGTCTGGCACCCCTGTGCTCAAGGTGGCTGACTTTGGGCTGAGCAAGGTCTGTGCTGGCCTGACTGCTCGGGGCAAGGAGGGTGGGCATGGGAACAAAAATGTGAATGTGAACAAGTACTGGTTGTCCTCAGCCTGTGGCTCTGATTTCTACATGGCACCTGAGGTCTGGGAGGGACACTACACTGCCAAGGCTGACATCTTTGCCCTTGGTATCATCATCTGGGCCATGATTGAGAGGATCACTTTCATTGATGCTGAGACCAAGAAGGAGCTGCTGGGAACCTACATCAAGCAGGGGACCGAGATTGTGCCTGTTGGGGAAGCGCTGCTAGAAAACCCAAAGATGGAGCTGCACATCCCTCAGAAACGGAGGACTTCCATGTCTGAGGGTATCAAGCAGCTCTTGAAAGACATGTTGGCTGCTAACCCGCAGGATCGACCTGATGCCTTTGAGCTTGAAACCAGAATGGACCAGGTTACATGTGCTGCTTAAATTCAGGGCAGGGCACTGCTGTGCTTTGCAGCTGGGTAAGTGATATGCACTTTTTGTCTTATTCTGTCTGCTGTACTGGCCCAATAGTGCACTTTGTAGTGACACAAAGGACTCTTTTATGTTTCCAGAGCTATTTCTATAGTGACTCATTGCTTCAGAGGTTGTTTTCACCTATTCTACTGCAAAAATAAAGTAGAGGTGGGAAACAGAACTAGCAGCTGCATGTCCTGCCACTGCCCAAAGACCCAGTGGAAGGGCTGGGCAGGAGCCCTGCTCCTTGGAGGTCCTGGCCAGTGGCTGAGACAGGCTGGTGCATGGCAGAGAGACTTGTAAGCACTTGGTATAAGCTTTAGGGACATCTGTCTCTCCCGGAGGCAGGGAGGGAACTGCCAGTTCTGCCTCCTCTGCTATGTGATAAAATTTCTGCAGTCAGTGCTGGGAGCCTTCACTGTCTAGCACCATCCCCTTCCCCTGTGACACTTGGACAGGACACCTCGGGGTTTGGTGAGCAGGCACTGAGTGGCACATCTGTCTTGGCACAAAGCTGTTCCCTTTACTTTCACCTGCAATGCACATGGGTTGGTCTTGTGGCTCTGTTTCATTTCCCTGTTAAAGGCAGGAGGACTTCCCTTTGGTGTGAAGTGCAGTGGCCCAAACGCAGGAAGACACTTTGGTCTCCAGCATCTGTTTGTAAACCTGTGTCTGCTCAGGAAGGAAGCTTACAAAACAGCAGTGCTCAGATTGAACTCAGCTCTGTTCAAGCACAGTCTCTTCCCTTCTCCCTCCAGCTTAGTTCCGAAATAGTCTCAAGCTCAGAAGTCCTAATCATGAGGCCTGGGTGGTCACACATGGTCTGGAAGCATCCCCAGGGATGTGGTGTCACTAAGCAGACACACAGAAGGACTGGGAGGTATTGCCTGCATGGCAAAGCTGTATGTAAACAGGAGCTGTTACTAGGGAGAATCACAGCCAAACATTTCAATGAAACCGAAGAATTACAGATTACCAGGGGTGAGGCTGATGTCTTCCCAGTCCAGTTCCTTTCTCAGGCTCCTGCCTACCCGTCACTGGTCCCAGGAGATCTCTGACAGCTTGCCTGTCTCAGGTGCTGGCATTGCAGTTTGTGTCCCCAGCACTTACCTCATCCCAAAACCACACAGAGCCAGCTGGACTTGAGCAAACCATGGATTCAAGAGGGCAAAGAAGGAGGAAATGGCTTCCCTGGCCAGCACTCACCAGCCTCCAGCTGATGGCTGTGTGCCTGGCCCACTCAGAGCAAGCCTCCAGCAGCAGTTGGTGGGGAAGGTGGGGCCATTTTGGCAGGTTTTGCTAAAAAACCTCATTGCTGCCCACCTGAGCTTTCCGTAAGAAAGCTGTGTGTTGCCCATCCCCTCCTGCCATGTGCCCAGGTACACTGTGCTGTATGCAGAGAAATAGGGATATAGAAACGGAAAGACCTATTGGGTGGGTCTTGTTCTGTCACTGTTGGTTTGTCCTAACTGGTCCGCAAAGCATCCTTTTCAAACCCTCCCTCGCATGAAATATTCAACACCTTCGAGGTCTCAAGTGCAAGTAACTGATTTAAGCGGCGCTGCCTGAGGCTGGGGCTGGATATTGGTGCAAGTGAGGGCAGGGGAGTGAATCTGCAGAAATGTGAGCCCTTAAGATGGGTGTGGACCAGTCCTGGGGCGAGAGCAGACACCCAACCTTGTGCCCCGGGGCGAGGTGTGGGGCCGGTTGGGCTGTGGGAGCAGCTCTGCTGCATGGAGGGTCAGGCCAGGCTCTGCCATCTGTGCTGACATGATGCTGCTGAGTTATGCAACCAGCCCCTGCCCTCCGGGGAAAATTCATCCTGCGCAGATCTGCGGAATAGTACATGAAGGGATAACAAACACCGAGGGGACAGTCCTACCCCGCGGCTGTTTGCTCAAACCCAGCTGCCTCCTGCAGCCCCCCCTCCCCATCCGTGAGTCTGCACCCATCGCTCCGTCGTGACACAGCTGCAGCAGCAATGGATGCTCTTACATAACCCAACCTGGCACATGGAGCGTGGTCGCTTGGCCCAGATAGAGCCCAGCACCAGCCATATGTTCCCTGTGAATTTTGCCTCGCTCATGGGGCAGCAAATATTTGGTGGGCTGTGCTGTAGAGTTTTCCTAATGCCTGGTGTGGTTGTGCATTCAAGTCAGCCTTCCTCTGGCTGCTATTAAATGCAAATCTTAAATTGGAAACCTGCTTGAGAAGCTTAAAATGGGATTTAGAGCAGGGCCTGAATTCTGCTCTCAGGTAATTTTAGTTGACCGAGAAACTCATGTAACCTCTTCCAACTTATTTGTGGCACTGGCGTGTAGCTTTGCCATGCTGCTGGGTCATGCAGTGAGTTCTTCCCCAGGACAGTTCAGACCTGGACAGCATTGGTTGATGTCATAACCTGGAAAACTGTAACCCTTCCTGACCCAGGGAATTGGAGTTTTGCTTATTCTTTGCTATGCCACTGACCTCTTCTGATTTCGCTTCACGTCTCAGCAGCTTTGCCTTTAGTTTTGCCATGGATGCTGCACGAACCTGCCAGCTTTGTGCTCCATTACCCTTCCAAACTGCAGATAAGAGATGTCAGTTCTCAGACAGGAAAGTGTTTCTGGCTTGGTTCCTGCTGGACACCAGGGTGCCTGAGGTGGAGATGACTCCTTATCACCTTATGAGCACTTGCTGGTGGCCCTGGGGCAGTAGTTCCCTGGGAAAAACAAAAGTTTCCTCCTTCTAATTTGAACACTGTGCTGCCCCACCTTCTGCAGAAGTTTAGATAAAGCCAGGCTTATCTACAGCTCTCTGGCAGCATTACCTGCCACTGAGAGTTGTGGATTTAAGAATCTTAGTAGTTTTGATTTGCACAGGACAACAAACTGCAGTGGTTGTGGTCAGTGTAGAAGACAGCTTGTTCTGAGAGATCATAATCCATGATATTTTTCCTGGATAAAACAGTTGGTCTCATTTTGTGTTGGATGCTCAAGATGAATGGCAGGAATCTGTGCAGGCTGCAGCATCTTGGGAAGGTGTCTGACAGCTGAGACCAGCCTGGCTCTCTCCAGCACTGCTCTGTCACTTGGTTTGATCATTCCAGTTTCAGCTGAACGTGGCTGTTTGCATTTGTATTGTTCTCCTCTTTGCATTTTCAACGTGCACCAGGAGCTGATGCTGAACAGGCTCATGTGCTTGCCCTGCATGACAGTGTCTGTCCCCGGCCAGAGCTCTCTGGTGCTGTGCCCAGCCATTCCCAGCATGGTTGATAAACTGCTGCTGCCCTGTGGAATTCCGGAGCTGGAGGGCAGACAGGGATTGGACACACAGCAGCAGCTCTGAGAGCTGTTGGTCAACGGGGTTGCTGCATCAAGTTAGATCTCATATGTTAGTGGCACTCAGCTCAAGTTTTACCCACTGGCCAGTCAAAGAACAGCTGTTTCACTCCTGAAACAATGTTGGTTTTGACTTCGGACTGTTTTAAATGTGGTTTGTGGATCTTGTCCTGTGGCTTTTGTCTATGCCAGTAAAAGCAAAGTCAGTTCCTCTTCTTGACCAGTGGGTACAACTTTGCTGGGCCACCCCATGGGGTGGTGACACCCTTCTGAGCAGTGTTGATTCTACTTGGGGCAAAACAAGGCCCTGAGGGTGAACTGGATCATGTCACCTCTGGCCAAATGTATTAGTGTTTGTGTTTGCTGACTGTCACCCCTGCTTTGCCTTCTGGGGGTGGCTACTGTGGTTGGATTTAAGGATGCTCCCAAAGAGCAAATATAGATACAGAGCATGAGGAAGGACTCAGGAGATTTAAATCAGGCTCTCGGCCCCCTTCTCTTGTACTCTGTGTTCCCACACAGGGCAGATAATGTGGTTAGCACGAGAGGATGACAGGTTATCTCTCCCTCCCCTGTGCTGAGTCCTCTGCCGTGCAGACCCCATTGCCACCTCCCCTCTCCGTGTGACCCACGCATTGGTGTCATCTTCTTTGCGTGCTGGGTGAGGACTCCATGGGCTGCTGGTTCACATCCTGCTGATGCTGAATGAACATTCGAGCTGATTAAAACTATAAGTGGCATCAGTGGAGGGATTAAAAGCTCTTGAACAAGCCCCTGCAACAACGTGCGTCAGTGGAGTGAGCTCTCCTGTCTCAGAGCTGTGAGCTTGGGGCTGCTCAGGCAAATGCCTTCCCTGAAAATGCTCCTACTCCAGGGAAGCACACACAGAAATGCTGCCCTACTTGCTAATGAAGCTACATAACAGGAGAAGTCTTCCAGAAGAATCCTTGTGTGTTTGTCCCTGACCTGGTGTCCGGGTGCCTCTTGCCGCCTCAAAGGCGTTTATTCCAATAGCGGCATGTAGAAGTGGCATCTCTTGGTTAACCTCTCCTGAAAAGGAGTGTGCCCGTGGCCCTGCCTTCTGCTCTGAGCAGCTTCTTCCTTTAGAAATGTGTTTCTCAGGCATAGATTTCTTTAATGAGATTTCCGAGGGCTAAGGGATTGGAATAATTTGCTGGGCAGTGGCATTTTTTCTGCAGTCTCTCCTTCTGCTCCCTTGGTGTCTCTGCAGAGCCCCTGCCCAATCGTGGTGGGGGAGGACCTGCCCCTGCTGAAGCAGGGAGCTAAATCCACTCCCCAGTTTTTTTCCATGTAACAGGTTAGAGCTCAAGTTTGGGGAAAAATTAAACTCCTGATAACTCCTGGAAAATTACAACCCATGCACAGCATGAGGGGTGCTGGAGTGAAGCAGAGTCCTCCCCTTGGGTTGAAGGTTTGCATGTGTTTTGGTGACTTCCAGCCCCATCCCTTGCTGCAGGAAGCACTCGAGGTGCCCCTGGACAAAGCTAACAGCAGTGGGGGACCCCCAGCTCCCTACATCAGGCAGGTGGGTCCCAGCTTTCATGGAACCACTGCTTTCCCAGAACAACTGCTGCCCTCAGCTCTGCTGGTCCCTCCTCAGGAGTTTGAGACATCCTGAAGGATGTG